GGTGAGGTCCCGGGGTCGCTTGAGGGGGCTTCCTGGTGTCGGCTTGTCTTTTTTGATCCTGTTCCTGTTGATCTGCTGGCGGAGATCCGGTACTGGGGTTGACCCTGGAGCTCTCTTTCCCCGGGGGAGTCCGATGGAGGGGCCAAACCGAGGATGAGAGGCGTTCGTAGGTGGCGGTGCACGCCTGGGCAACTGTGTCGCTCGGTTTTTGGGCATGTTGCCAGGGGGAGGGAAGATGCAGTTGGGGTCAGTTGTCCCTGGGTCTTCCTCTAGGGTGACCCAGATCCCAAACTGGCGGGGCCTGCCGCCCTGACCCCTATAGGCCAGGTCGAACAGGGTTTCCCGATCGACGTTGGTTGTGAGTGGGATCTGGGTGCCATCTTCGTTGCAGAAGGTCATCCGATATGGTCCGTCGGCGAATAGCCCTATCACTTCCCTGGCGTGCAAGGGCCGCAGCGTTGCCATGGCGTCTAGTGATCTTGGGATAGAAGTCGGGACTGGTGTTGCTTGGAGAGCTTCCTCTGAGGTCGGATGCCGAGTGCTGGATGATCTAGGCATCGCCGTCTTTATACCCTGGACTGGTCGAGGGTGGGTATCGCGGACTTTGTTCCTTTCCGCCGCGTACTTTCCCAGGCCGGTCGGGGGCATCCCTCTGTTGTCTTCGGAGTGACAGGAGGGTGTGTTAATGAGGGGGGCGGATGCGGCGCCAAAGGACGTCGTCCCCTTCGGCCGAGATTCCTGATAGTCAGGATTAGGATCCTTTTGTTCCGACTCCCTCCTTTGGCTCTCTCCTTTCCCACGCTTGGCAATGGGTTTTACCCTCCTGGGTGGTAGGGTGGTGAGGTGCACTGGTCTGAGGGCCCTGGTTGCCTCAAAATAGGGCTTGAGTCGGGAGACATGAACGTTTATTGGAGTCTGTTCATCCGGTCTAGAGATCTTGTATGTGCATGGACCGGTTTTACGTTCGATAATGTATGGACCCCGAAATTTTGGCTGCAATTTCGGGTTCAGCCCTATGTGCCTGTTCGTGACGTGTAGCCACACTTTCTGCCCTTTTTTGAATGTGGGTACATAGGTGGGGGCCTGATATTTGAGCATGCGCTCCCCTTGTTGCTCGATTCGTGAGGCAGCTAGGTCGAAGGCTTCCTCCATCCTCTTGAGTAGTTCTGCTACGTACTGCGGCATATCGGGCGCGGTTGTTGGGGGAAGTCCTTGGGTACACAGGTACGGTAGTGTTGCCTCGAAACCATGCATGAGCAGAAAAGGCGTGAACCCATGCACAGAATGTGTCGCAGTGTTGTAGGCCAGTTGAAGATTTCCTAAAATCACGTCCCAGTCAGACTGATTGGTGGCGACGTATGATGACATCATCCTATGCATCGTCACGTGGAATTTTTCGTTGGCACCGTTTGTCTGGGGTCGGTAGGGGGTCGTTCTTGACTTCGTGATGTTAAGTTGCGAGCACAGACTTTCAAATAGGGTGCTCTCGAAATTCCGTCCCTGGTCCGTGAGGATCCTTTGGGGGAGACCATAGTGCGGAATTAAGTCTTGACACATGGCTTTTGCCACGGTACTTGCGCTTTGGTCGGGCAGGGCTGAGAGCAGAACGTACTTCGAAAAATGGTCCAGGATGACCAGGATGTACTTATTCCCTTCGAGAGAGGTCGGGTATGGGCCCGTGATGTCGAGAGTGACCAGCTCCATTGGTCGCGATGTCAATATGGGTTGTAGAGCTGGACGGATGGGTTTGACAAGGGGTTTTATTCGCTGGCAGGTTTGGCATTCTCGACACACGTCGTGTGCGATATCCCGAGCTTTCGGGGAAAAGTAGATCTGCTGGAACTTGTCCAGGGTTTTCTGGGTGCCAAGGTGCCCTCCTGTGCTCATATCCGTGTGGATTTGCGTGAGCAGGATTCTTGCTTGAGTAGGGGTGAGAACAATCCGTTCTTCTCCTGAGTCCAGCGTGATGACTGCGTTCGTCCCTTTTACTCGGATTTCTTGTCGTAGTTTCTCAAACACGGCGAACGGGGGTGGAAGGGGTCCGGCTTTGGGGAGGCGAGCAATTAATTGAGGGTCAGTCTCCGTTGTGAAGGGGAGTGTTAAGACATTGATGATGGCCTCGCCGTCCGGATTCTCATCTATGGGTGGTTGAACTGGCAAGCGAGAGAAGATGTCAGCTCGATTCTTCTTGCCTTTCACGTAGCGGGGTTGAAATTCGTATTGCTCTAGGAGCATTATCCATCTGGCCAGTCTTCCAGTCGGGGACTTGATTTTTCGTAGCCAAACTAGGGCGTTGTGGTCTGTGAACACCTCGAACTGGTGCCCGTACAGGTATTGATGGTGTGCCTGAATGGCCCATGTCAAGCCTAGGCACTCTTTCTCAGTCGTACTATAATTTTTCTCTGCTGCATTGAGAAGACGACTGGCGTAGGAAATGACTCGTTCCTTTCCTTCTTGCGTCTGCGCGAGGACTGCCCCAAGACCGATATTGGACGCATCGGTGTACAGTCGGAATGGCTGTGAAAAGTCGGGGAATGCCAATATGGGGGCCTGGATGAGCGCTTCTTTGAGTCGCTTGTAGGCGTCCTGACACTCGTCAGTCCAAAGGAAGGGCGTGTCTTTGCCCGTCAATTTATGCAAGGGCGCTGCTTTCTCTGCGAATTTCGGAACGAAACGCCTGTAATAGCTCATGAAACCCAGCAAGCTCCGCACTTCCCGGGTATTTCCTGGAGACGGCATGTCCCTGAGAGCCTGGATTTTGTCGTCTGCCGTCGCGATTCCTTCAGCCGATACGCGGAATCCAAGGAAGTCAAGGCTCTGTCGCGCCAGGTGGCATTTGGTTCCGTTCAGCTTC